TATTAACAGTTTGAAATTTCTAACTTTTTCGATTGGTTAAATAGGTCGGCATCATAAGAACTAGATACTGCAACGAACTTGATTTATAAGGTTTATGCCAATATGGCAATAATCTTCGTTAAATGTTCTACAAATGTCACCCAAATGATATGCATGGGTGCCAAATTTGTCGAAATGTTTGGAATTAACAAAATAGTAATGAAATTTTTTTTTTATACTGAATTCCATGCGTTTAAAAAAATTGTTCGAAATTTATTATTCTAAACTGAAGGCTTCTGTAACGAATATTATAGAAATAAATAAGTACAGAAGTTCTTCCATGAGTTGCAGGGTGGCCACAGTCTGGAAAAATTTTAAAAGAAAGGCCAATTAAGGCTTTAATTTTAGGAACATTTTAGGAATGCAATTTGTCAGCTGTAACATAAATTTACAAATATTTTTGGATGACAATTGCAAACAGCTTTTTAATTTTTCTGGAAAACGGCTACACTTGAGAGGTGTCTCCATCCACTCCCCTTTCCCCCATGAGATGAAGCATTTNAAGTGTATAGAAGGGTTAGAAAACATTAAGTTAGCTGATGAGTATTTTCACATTCCGCAGAGAGTTGATTTATTAATTGGTGCGGAATCCTTTTTTGAGCTAATAAAACCTGGGCAAATTTACCCTCCTAACTCGAATTTAATCTTACAAAATTCTGTGTTGGGTTAGTGGAAGCATATCAAATATGGAGGATAATAAAATCCATTGTGGGTTAGTTAAAGAAACTCTTGATTTAGAACAAACTGTTAGAAGTTTTTGGGAGATAGAAAATATCGAAACTGAAATAATTGAGAGTAAAGAAAAAATTATTTCTGAAGAACATATTAAAAAACCTGTGCTAGAAATTCTGAGGGACGGTACATAGTAAAGATGCCTTTAAAAGAGGATCCTAAAAATTTGGGAAAATCTAAAGAGTTTGCGTTGAAGAAATTAAATCTGATGTGGAAACGTTTAATTAAGGAGCCAAATTATTTATCTTTATATAAAGATTTCCTTCATGAATATTTAGAGATGGGACACATGTCAGAAATTTCGGATGATGAGGAGGAAGAAGCCACTTACTACATTCCCCATTTAGGAATTTACCGCCCTGATAGGCAATCAACTGTCCTAAGAGTTGTTTTTAATGCGAGTTATCCTACTTCAGCTGGTAATTCCTTAAATTCTTTGCAATTAAATGAAGGCATAGTTCAGAGTGATTTATTTTCCATCATGACAAGACTCCGTAAATATGTCTATGCCTTCACAGCAGACATAAAGAAAATGTACCGAATGATCTTAATTCATCAAAGACAAAGAAAATTGCAGCCTATTCTTTGGAAAGAAAAAGAGAAAGGACCTGTCAAAACCTACGAGTTGAATACCGTCACTTACGGTACAGTGTGTGCACCATTTCTAGCAACTAGTACGTTAAAGCAAATAGCTATTGATGACGGAGAAAAGTATCCTCTTGCTGCTCCAGTCATTGAAAATGATTTCTACATCGATGATGTGTTGACCGGCTCTGATAATTTAGCAACTTCAAAAGAACTTAAAACTTATCAATTAATTGGTATCTTAGGAAATGCTGGCATGCAACTCCACAAATGGCATAGCAACTGCGCAGCGTTACATTCTGATGGTGAAGAAATATATAATTTTACTAACTGTGATGGAACTCAAGTGCTAGGAGTTTCCTGGAGACCGAAGAAAGATAGTCTTTATTTTAAAGTTACCTGTAGTGCATCACAAAGAAAAGACTCGAAAGTCACGAAGCGCTGTGTCTTATCCACAATTGCACGCCTTTTCGACCCCCTTGGATTGCTTGGACCAGTAGTGTCAAAAGCAAAGATATTTTTGCAACAGCTATGGTTTTTAAAACTGGACTGGCATGAAGAACTACCTGAGAAACAAATCCAAGAGTGGAAGAAGTTTGTCGAAGCTTTAAAGAGTGTTAACAACATGGAATTTGATAGATGTATACTTACAGAGGGAGCTGACATGATTGAAATTCATGGATTCGCCGACGCGTCAGAGGTTGTTTACGGTGCTGTTGTTTACTGTAAGTGTGTTAAAAATGGTCAAGCAGCGACTATCAAATTGATTGCTAGCAAAAGTCGTGTATCACCTTTGAAAAGAGTAACCATCCCAAGACTAGAACTCTGTGCCTCACTGCTTCTAGCCAAATTAGTGAAAAAAGTGATACTAGCTCTCGAATTGCCTATATCCAACATCTACTTATGGAGTGATAGCATGATTGTGCTTTCTTGGATACGTAAGGAGTCATTTCTACTTAAGACTTTCGTTGCCAATCGTGTATCCCAGATTCAAGACTTAACTAACATTGACAGTTGGAGATATGTACCATCAACTGAGAACCCTGCAGACATTATCTCCAGAGGTCTCGATCCTGATAAACTTTCACAATGTAGATTGTGGTTTGAAGGACCAAATTTCTTGTGTAACAGTGAATATCCAAATAGAGACATTCCATCCAGAGTTATTGAAGATGAATTTTCTAATGAATTTAAACCATCTAGTGACTTCAATTGTTTTATTAGTGATAATAGTAATTTTCTTGATAATTTTTTGGAAATTAGTAATAATTATAGTAAACTCATTCGTGTATTAAGTTTTGTATATAGGTTCATCGATAATTGTCGGAGCACTTATGACACATCAACTGGGTCTTTGTCTCCAGATGAACTTAAAAGAGCTGAACTAAAATTGGTAAGTTTAGTGCAGAAACGGGAGTTCAGCAAGGAAATCAGAGATTTAGAAATTACAGGTGAAGTTTCAAAGCAGAGTAAGGTAAGAAATTTATGTCCTTTCATTGATGAAGAAGGTCTCTTAAGAGTAGGTGGACGTTTGTCCAATAGTAATTTGTGCTTTGACAAAAAAATTCCCATTATTGTTACCAGAAAAACATAAATTAACACAATTGATAATTATTAGTAATCATATTATGAATTTACATGTTGGACCTTAAAAATTATTGTTTATTATAAGGCAAAGAATTTGGTCAATCAATGGCAGATCTATTTGTAGAAAAGTAGTTCGTGAGTGCTTGTCGTGCTTTAAAGCTAAACCAATAACTTGTGATCAACTTATGGGTGATCTACCCAAAAGTCGTGTGAGTCAAAACTTTCCATTTGCCATTTCAGGTGTGGACTTTTGCGGTCCATTTACAATTAAATACAAGAACCAACGGAAAGGTACTTTTCAAAAAATTTAAGTTGCGATTTTTGTATGCTTTGTCACAAAAGCAATTCATTTGGAGCTTGTGACAGAGTTGAGCTCTCAAGCTTTTATAGCTACATTAAAGAGATTTTTTTCGCGTAGAGGAAAAAGCAGTACTCTGTACTCAGATAATGCGACTAATTTCGTTGGGAGTAATAATGAGTTACAGCAATTACTTAGCTTAGTTAAAAATCCTGATAAGAGTTTATGTAATTATATGAGTCATGAAAATATCAAATGGAAATTTTTGCCACCTAGGAGTCCGAATTTTGGAGGGCTCTGGGAAGCTGCAGTGAGATCCCTCAAATATCATCTGAAAAGAGTAGTGGGTTATAAGAAATTAACTTATGAAGATTTTTTGACTGTAACTACTCAAATTGAGTCAGTTTTAAACTCAAGACCGCTTACCCCGTTATCTTCAGATGCCAATGATTTGAGCGTTCTCACTCCAGTCCATTCCCTGATCGGAAGACCGTTCACATCAATTGTTGAACCTGATGTAACCAATGTATCTGATAATATGTTGAGTTTATGGCACAAAACCACTAAATTCGAGCAATTTATATGGAAAAAGTGGCACAAAGATTATTTGTCAACTTTTCAACAAAGGTCGAAATGGTACATAGAGAAATAAAACATTAAACCTGGAGATATGGTTTTGATAAAGGAAGATAATTTGGCTATATGTAATTTTCCAATTGGTAGAATTGTGGAAGTCTTTCCAGGAAAGGATGGCAGAGTTCGTGTTTGTAGTATTAAAACAAACAAAGAAATCTTTAAAAGGCCCATTTCTAAAATTTGTTTATTGCCAATTGAATGAATATTTTTTTAAAAACTTTATATTACTTTTCATGATCATGTGAAATTTATTGTGTAATAGTAATTGTTAGTATAGTAATATTTGTGTAATAGTAGTAATATTGTTGATAGTTGTAGTAATATTGTTGATTGCTAAAACAATGCAACGCCCGGCGGTATGTATCCGCACGGATTTGTAGCGCCACCTAGTATAACTTGTAACACTGAGAGAGAGAGAGAGAGTGTGTGTGGAAGGAGAGCTGTAACGAGCTACAAAAAAGCTCTCTTCCAAATAATAAGAAATAAATATTGTGCATAAAATTACAGTCCGCTTTTTTCTATTTATTGAGCGAGTTCATATTTACCTGAGCGTCGACAGATGATGTGCCTTCATAGAATCTAAATTTACTTTTTGGAGTTTTTATTAGCTTTAACAATACATCAACACAAGTTTTTGAAAGATTAAGTTTAATAGAGTAGGCTAAAATGCTCATGTTACATCTGCAGAATCATAAAGTGGTTTATTACCATTTTTAATAATATCTTTCAAATCATCTTTCATCGAAAAACTATTTTCCGATGAAATTTCTTCAACATCTAATTAGTCAGATACAGTGCTCGATTTGCTACTGATTGTTTCATTAATTTCTGGTTCTTGACTCGTACTTGGTATGTGAAGATTTTCCTTGTGAGCCTCATTCAGACCAAACAGCATATTCGATCGGTAACGACTAAATGTTCTTCTTGGTAAAGATTCGTTAGTCCATAAGTATTGTTTATACTTTT